TCAAAAGCTCTGAACGTCTAAGACAGCCTGCTCAGACCATCCCAGTAGCCCAGATGACAGAGCAAGGCTCTGCCTCTGAAAAATAAAATGAACAAAAAGAGTGTTGGGTGGAAAAGGACAAGAGGAATGGAAAAGATAGGCCATAGGCCATGAAAATTCATGCTGATAAGGACTGGGGAGTATTCTCTTTTCCTTTAGTGGACAATCTATTTATTTAATGAAAATAAATACACTTTTATTGTATTATTATATTTATTTATTTATTTATTTAAAATGATACACTTCACTTCATGTGACAGAGACAGTCCTTTCAAAGTTGTGCATAATTATAAGGGATAGGAAAAAAAAAAAGCCAGGGACTTTGACAACAGAAAATACACTGGGAAAAATGTGCCCTGAGAATATCAATATGTGGAATCTGAAAGCAATGCATTGAATGCTTATAAGTGATTTGCTTCTTCTGGGTCAAAGACAGGTTTGCAAATGAAATAGACTCTTCAGCTACAGATCACCCTAGGTATCCAGGGTTACACTCTGGGCCAATAAGTGAGCAATCCTAGTCCCAGAGTAGGCATGTAATCCCAGCACATTGGGAGGCTGAGGCAGGAGAATTACTTGAGCCCGGGAGTTTGAGACCATCTAGGCAACAAGAAGAGACCTTGAATCTACAAAAAAAATTAAAAATTAGCCAGGTGTGGTGGTGCACACCTATAGTCCCAGCTACTCCGGAGGTGAGGCAGAAGGATCACTTGAGTGTAAGAGTTCAAGGCTGCAGTAAGCTGTGATCATGCCACTGTACTCCAGCCTGGGCAACAAAGTGAGACCCAACTCAAAAAAGAAAAAAAAGAGAGCAGTCCTAATCCAGCCTTGTACCCCTGGGAACATTCTGGAGCTCTCTCATGTCATGAGCTCCAGAGAGCTACTGGAATGAATCAAGCAGAACGTGGCCCCATGTGTTAAGTCCCCGAAAACAGAGAGGAAGCTTGGTTGGCAACACTGCACAATGACGGAGGACTCAAACTCTGGATCTTCCAAACTCAGGTTCAAGTTCATCTCCATTTCTTTGGATGAGTTCCATAACCTCTCTCTGCTTCAATTCTTTTGTCATTTATTTCACAAAGCAGAGGTAACAATGCGTCGTCTTGATGTGAGGACAAAATGAGATGAAACTGTCAGGCTAGTGCCCAGACCTCTGCTGGCCTATAATCATTAGCAAGTCACCTACTCTTCCTCCAGGGAAAGGGAGGGATTACTGGAAGGCAGCTCTCCAACCCCGACCCCTGGGTGAAAATGACACACTTTATTTCATGTGACAGAGACAGCCCTTTCAAAGTGGTGCATACTTGTAAGGTACAGAGAAAAACCCGGTTTGAAAGAAAGGGTTTGCCAGTATCCCCGGGTAAGAGCGGCCCCTGAACTAGCAGGGTCTATAGTGGTCCCTGTGTGCCATCCAGTGGCCAGCAAGGGAAAAGCCACGATTTTGTCTTCAAATTCTGTTTACTTTGCCTAAAATATGTATTCTGATGAGGATAACTGAAACTCACAAATGGGTTCACTTGTTAATAAATTTTACTCAGTTTGTTTGATCAAAATAAAGACTTATCATTCTGGCTGGGCATGGATGGCTCATGCCTGTAATCTCAGCAATTTGGGAGGCTAAGGTGGGAGATCTGCTTGAGCCCAGGAATTTGAGACCAGTCTAGGCAACATAGCAAGACCTCGTGTCTACAAAAAAAAAAAAAAACAAATTAGCCAGGCGTGGTGGTGCATGCCTGTAGTCCCAGTTACTCGAGAGGCTAAGTCAGAAGGATTGTCTGAGCCCAGGAAGTCCAGGCTGCGGTGAGCCGTGATCATGCCACTGCACTCCAGCTTGGGCAACAGAGTGAGATAAATAAATAAATGGTTGTCCATCCAGTCCTTATTAGCATGAATTTTCATGGCCTATCTTTCCCATTCTTCTTGTCCTTCTCCACCTACACACTTTTCATTCATTTTATTTTTCAGAGACAGTCTCTGTTATCCAGGCTGGCATGCAGTGGTGCGATCATAACTCTGTAACCTCAAACTCCTGGGCTCAAGCGATCCTCCCACTTCAGACACCCAAAATGCCAGGATTATAGGCATGACCTACTACACCTGGCCCCACCAATATTCTTTGTGCTTATACATAGACTGAGAGTGCCCGAGAGACTCAGGGTGGATCTACTCAACACACTGCTAGACCTTGGCTTGGACCAGAGTCATACCAACCATATTCCAAGAACACAACTATCACTTAAAATTTTGCTATAATTAAACTGAATATGTGCCAAGAGTCTGCATGTTTGGTTTGATTTTTCTTGGGGGGGCGTGTTTTCTGTGTTTCTTCTCAAAGTCATTTATTATCCTTACAATCTGTTTCTACCCCGGGGTATTTATGAGGATGAGACAATGGCAGACAAATGGAAGCCATAATAGCACATTTGGAGTGCCCAGAGGTGTTCTGAGACCCCCCCTCTTCAGTATTATTGTGATTATATGAACTATAATCATAACAGATGTTATTCATTGGATTCTTATGATGTATACTTGTCATTATATTTTATCAACATTTTTGCTAATTCTCATATCAATACTGAAAAATAGATATTATTATTCCCATTTTAGAGATAAAGAAACTGATGCTCAGAGAGGCTAAGTGACTTACCGAAGATCACACAGCTAGTTGGTGGCAAAGTTAGAGTTGCACTCTGGTCTGACAAACCCCAAAGCCCCTTTTCCCACCACCAGCCAACTGGCCTCTCCTCTGTTCACTCACACGCTTGTGACTGGCCAAATTCTGAGTCTGAGATACCCTCAGTGCTCCCAGATCCTTAGAACCCAAGACTCTCGGGGCCTCAGATCCATGGCCAGCGAATCCAGCAGGGGTTAAACGTGCAGATGACTTAAAAAAGAGCAAAAGGCAGCCAAGGGAGCCGGGTCTGGAAAGGGCTGGGGGAGGGAAGGAACATGGTCTAGGAGTCAGGACACCCCTTGTCCTGGCCCTGCCTTGGCTCCCATGGGGCCTTGAGCCAGTCCCCACCATGCCCACAGCCTGGCTGTTGACAATCACCCTTGGCTGGTGCCCGGTGAGCTGGTCTTTCCTCCCAAAGCACCAGGGGCTCTGCCCGCGGAATGTTCCCTAAGGTTTGCTGGTTTTGAGAATTCTGGGTTTCTTCCAGTTGTGGGGGATGCTGGGTGAATGGGACATTATCTCTGCTGCCCAGAGCCCAGGGCCCAAGGGGCGAACACGGAGGGCACACCCAGACCTTTCAGCAAGGTGGTCATTCTTCTGTCTTTACTGTTTGCTCCTGGCAAAAAGGGGACCCCAGGGCTGGATAACTGTCCTAAAGAGGAGTCTCTTGGGACTTCCTGAAGATGCTCTCAAGTCACATCTGGAGGAGGGAGGTGGGGACACATCCCTGAGCCAGCTCCTCCTCTGCCCCCCTCCACCCTTCCCACCTTCTAGGACTAGGAATTTGATCAGGACTTGTTCAACCTGAGAGAACAATGTCCAACCCCCTTGGAGAATGCCAGTGTCAGGCGGAATTTCAGGGGTCTCCAAGGAGGTGCCGCCCTGTTGCCTCCCCTGCCCCATGCTGCTCACACAGCCTCCACTGACCTGCTTTGGAGAGGGCCCAGAACATAGCCTGTGGGGGACCTTGGGCAGCAAGTCGGGGGCTGCCACTGGCTCACTACCAGCTCAGCGAGATAATTGTTCCCCTGCCAACTGCAGTTTCCTTCCACTGCCGCCATACCTGTCCTCTGGCCATGCCTCTGCCCAAAATGTCCTCTTACCCTTCATGGCCTGCCCAAACCCCTCCCTGAATTGTCACCTGAACAGAAACTGTCTCACACTCCGATTCCTGTGGGATGAATTACATAACAGACCCTCGGTCTGGGGCTGCCACATGTTGGGGTCCTTGTGCAGAGGCATGGCTGCCTACCCTGACTTGTGAGCAGTGTGGAAACACATCCTACTAGAGGGAAGGTGAAGAACAGGAATGCTGTGGAGTCCAGCTGCAGTGCTTACAGGCCAAAAGAACCACCAAGCTGTCTTATCTCAGTTTCCCCAACTCTAAATGAGGCTGAGCCCCTTGCAGGGTTGTTGTGAGGCTTACATTTTGACAAATGCCTGACATCCCACCAGGCACGAGGCAGTTGACCAGTATTTGGCGGTGGCTGCTGCTCCCCACAGTGTCCAACACAGACCCGGGGAATACAGTAGCTGACCTGTAGAAACCACTGATGGCCTGTTAATCAATTTGTTGGTGAGAGAAGCAGGATGCACTTGCTTGTTCCTCTGATTTTCCCATAGGCAGGCTCAGTGACATTTGGCAGAAGTGGCCAAGGAGATGGGAAATGGACGTCAATTAGGGGAGAAACAAGAGGAAGGGAGGGAGGAGAGAGGGAAGGAGGGAAAGAGGGAAGATGACCAGTGAACACAAAAAGAAACTGTTTTCTTGCAGGAACAAGCAGGTGGGTTATGGACACCACGTGGTTCACAGCAGGGACAGTTAGTGGAGTGTGTGTGTCAGTTTCAAGGGCGTTTCCTTTGAGAGCGGGTTGGTTCCAAGTTAGTTTCTGAAATATTTGTGAATAGATTTATTCAGTTTTGAGTTAGTTTTAGTTATTTTCCATTATTTGTCTTTTTATTTTTAGTTTTATTCGTTAATTTTTATTTATTTTAGCTTTCTATTTGGTTTAGTTTAGCTTTAGTTACCGGTTTGTAGTTATTTTATTTTCAAGGTTGCTTGTGGGTCACAGTTTCAGCATTTCAGAGCTGGAAAGGCAACCTGGAGCTCACAGACTCTTCCCCACCCAGTGTCCGCCCAAGTGAAGCGGTCCAGGCCTGGGGGCGGAGGCAGGAGTTAGAGAAGGGAGGACGAGTGCCCGAGACAGGCCATGGGCAGAGGGGCTGCCTTCTCCCCCCGCCCCACCCAACACACAGCAGCTCCAATTTCCCCCTTTCTTTCCCCAAGGCTGCTTCAGCAGGGAGTTTGTCTCCAGGGAACCCCGTGAAGACGGCGAAGGTGCAGAAGGCATGCAAAGGGACGGCAGCGCTCTGAGTGTAATTCACGTCCTTCCTTCACACTCCTCTCGCGTCCCCCTCATTCCTACTCATCAGCTCCTCCTGCCCTTCCTCTCCCTCATCCCCTCCCCCCCTGCCGCCCTTCATGATTCTCGCCCC